TATCTTTAGGATTTAGCTGTCGCTCACGTTATTCATATATTTTTACGCAAAAACCACCTGTTGTTGTTTTTTACTTCTTTAATAATTACATGTATGCAACACAGGAAATGAGATGCGAGGTGGTAGTGCGTAGAACAGAAATTTATAAATGAAATACTGTTTTCTCATGTTTTCGTATTACTTGTTACTGGCCTTGTCACCAAATACTTTTGTTAGTCTATTCACGCCACGTAACTCAGAACACCTTTCACCTTGTGTCACTAAGCGCTCCACTAAAATCACTTACCGAGCCTCTTGAGTTTAGCTCCTCAACTTTTTTCTTGTTGACTCTATTTATCGGAGTCTTCTACCGTTCTTTCTTGTTTTTGGCTTTCTTCCATACTGATCCATTCCTGCTATTTTTTCTGCTACTCTTGTCGAATCTTTCTTGTTGTTTTACAGGTCCACCTGGAGCTCCAATTTCTCTAGAAGCGGTTGTTTCTCCACCTAATGCACCTAAATCTGAGCAATCGATTTCTGTCACTTGGATGCCCGATGATTCAAGACCTTCCGCTGTACCCGTACTGCATTACGTACTGGAAATACGGCCAGTCGGCGAGAGGCTTTGGCGCCCTGCAGGCCCTGGTTCTGAAAAGATTGAAGCCTGCCAGTTTACTGTCCCCACAAATGACCTGAAAGAGGAACAGCCGTATGAATTCCAAGTAACAGCTGTCAATAAAGCGGGGCCTGGCAAGCCATCCTCGCCTTCGAATCCTGTTCAGCTAGGTAACCATTTCATTGGAATACATTTATTTCTTTGTTTTTCTGTGTTTTGGTTGTCAACTTTTGTAATTCGTCTCTGTTTATGGTCGACATATTAACCTACCACTACTATGTATTCCCGAGTTCTCATCCCTACGCTCAGCCTGTTTAACTGTTTTCAGTTCAACATGAACAGTGTTGTGTTTCCCGGAACCCCTAGTTAAAAATCTTCTATTTTGACCTTGTTTTTATACAGGTTGTCCACTGGCTTTTGTTCGCCGGTTAGAAGATGTAATTATCAAATCGTACACTGGTGAACCAGTCGTGTTGGAATGCGAGTTAACACGTTCGCCTAAAGAATCGGTCAAGTGGACGAAAGATCGGCGTCCGCTTACCTCAGGAAATAAAGTCACTGATGTAAAACTGGAGTCCGACAAGCGTGAAACAATTCATCGCGTTTTATTGCCTCAACTTACCGAGGATTTCATGGGTGAATACAAAATTGAGGTGGAAAAAATCAGTTCCAGTTGTACTATACAATTCCAAGGTGAGATGTCATTCCTCTACGATTCACGCGTTTGAGATAGCTGGGCTATGTGCACTTTGTTGAATGGTATATTAGTACTCACTGAGGAGTTTATCCAAATAGAATTAGTTGTAGGGAGATGAACTTAATGAGGTTGTCAATTGTTTGCTTTTCATGAAATAATGGAGTAATTCATTTTCTTCAAAAAGATCAATTGAATATTTTGTTACCTCGCGAAGTGCACCGAAGATAAATATTAAAAGCAACTTATTTATAATCATTTTACTTCAGCTGACTTTATTTCTTCCTAACGAATTCGCCCGAGAGAAACCAAGTCTTTTGGCTCGCTGTGAATCCTTTACTTCAGCCAAAATAACTTCACTGGCAATTGTGCTCAGCGTCCTGTGTTTTCCGGTTCCCCCAATCGACGCTGTTAACTTAACTCACCGACCAGTATTCCCAATACTTTCTTCCCTTTTCATTTCCACATTCAGTTCCACCTACTTTACGTCTATCCGAGTCGTTCCAAGAACGTATTGTGATGAAGGCAGGCGAATCACGACCGGTCGAGATTCCATTCGTGGCTGTTCCGAAAGCCACAATTCAGTGGACTTGCACCCTATCAAAGGCAAAACGTGGAGACCAGAAGCCACGCTTCAAAACAGAAGTTGATCACAACATTACCCGTCTGCAATTGACGAAAGTGACACCAGAAGACATGGGAGATTATCGTGTGATAATTCATAATAAATACGGAGAAATCACTAGCAACATTCAGTTAGTCGTAGTGGACAAACCCGGACCTCCACGCAATCCACAAACCCGGGATATGACTGGGGAGCAGATTACATTCACCTGGGAAGAGCCGGATTGGCTAGGTGGCACAGATAGCCCGGTTGAATACTTGGTCGAGTACCGGGAAACCTCGATGAGGTCTGCCAAAGCAGTGGGAAAAACGAAGGAGCTTACCATGCCAATCACTGAACTGAGTGTGGGCAAATCCTACGTCTTTCGTGTGGCATGCAAGAACGAGAATGGCCAATCGGACTTTGTGGAAACGCAACCAGTGGTAATGAAATTAGAATTCGGTAAGCTTTGAAAAAATAAGTCATTATTGACAATAGCCTTAAACTATTCGTTCCGCATATTGTGTTTTGAGGAAGAAAATCGCTTATTGGGATATTTTCATCTTCGATCACGCATTCCACATAGATGCTTAAGTGTTATCAACTGCTTTGGGATTTTCAGACGCCCCTTCAGCACCAATTAATGTTCGGGCCTCGGTGAAACCAACTCGTGCAGAGCCTGAGGAACAAGAAATTCACCTGGTCTGGGACAGTCCGATTAAGCCAGATTCTGCTCCGGTAGCCGGCGCACTACCATCGCACTACATGGTTGAGATGAAGTTAGTCGATGGTAGGAACTGGCAACGGATTGTCAAAGATGTAACCATACAGGAACCTCAAATACATTTCGCGGCTGTAGACGAATCCCTGGGTCCGGAGAAGTTGTACGAGTTCCGTGTATTCGCGGTAAACAAAGCCGGTACTAGCGAGCCTTCAAAACCATCTAATCCGGTTGAACTGGGTGAGTTCTTTCAAAAATCATCTCGTTTCAGTTGGACTTTCAAGTATTTTACTCATTGACGTGACCAATACGAGCCGCGCAAACCTTTTATATCCGGTTCCTCTTTGTGCATGTATACATGTGATTGAAACTGATCCATTCATTTTTTCGTTATTTTTTTATCCCTGTAAAGTCCGAAACTTGTTCTAGTTCAACGGTTGTCCAAACACGGTCGAGTATCCTGCGGTTGTTCTGTATAGCGTCAATGAGACCCCGAAGTCGGATATTGATCCGCAATGCGTACAGCACTGTTTATTTCAATTTTAAGCAAGCTAAAAAGCAACGTACCCCAACAATGCAGTTCAATCTTTATACAGCCAAGGGGCTTAAACAAGCAAGCAATAACCTGACATGAAAAACACTCACAAATTTACAAAGGTTAACAGAAATAGCCTTTAGGTCAAACAAGAGATTCTGTTCACCAAACGTGAAAAGTTACTGTTTGTAGTTGGCGATACACTCGCAAAGCTGAAGCCAACGAATAAACCCACAGGGCTAGTTAAGGAACCAAATAGGGACAGGGACAGAGACACAGCAAGGCCCAGTAAGTGTGAGGGGCAGTCATTGGTCCAATGCTAATGACGCAGATGGAAAGAGAGATAGATACGCAAGGTCAAAAGACGAGGGTAACAGCCATCAGGCTGACTAACACGAGGGATCGTATGATGGTGAAGGTTCAAAGCAAGTCAAGTCAACAGACACACACAGGGTGAATTTTCAGCAATTTACGAACTTGTACAGTGCGATCAACAACAACAAAATAATATCGGAAATTGTATACTGAAAATGCGAACAATAATTAATGCAAGAGTCTTTCCCTGAGGTGGGTGACTGTTGTCTTAACGATTAAACAATAGCCGAGCGAGGTAGGGAATTACATTGTTTCTATATTTTGAAGTACGCGCATGAAGGAGTTGATATTTAGAGCGAGTTCGGGGAGTCGACACCGCTTTCACGATTTGTCGGTGCAGACCGTACCCTTGATAACGTGCCATCCTGTCAATAAAGTTATCACAAGCTTGGAAATAAAAAGTCAACCGAAACAACTCTATCAACCCCACTGTTACGGGGTAAAAGTTTAAGGGATCTAGAAAAGAAAGTTAAATCTTTTCTTTCAGACCAGAGATAAATATCGGGGAGCAGTATAACCAGTGTGAAAGAAAGCAGGCCATCACTAATTTAAGAATGAGATTATGTGGATCGTTCAGTTTCCTGTGCCTGTATGAGTAAAAAGAAAGTTTTCGAACTTTCGTAAAAACGCCGATGACATGAGAAGGGTAGGACAGGTTTTGAGTAAGGGTGATGTCAAGGTATTTAACAGATTTTGGGATGCCTTGATTATTAACTATAAGATCCGGGATGGCTTATGGATGAAAGACAACGGGAACCGGTTTTAAGACTAAATTAAATGCCAGTGCACTTATTGATGTTAAGCACGAGGGATCGGGGCACAGGCCAATCGTGAAGCTCATTACAGCGGTCCTGGAGAAGCCAAAAACTGTCTGCATCAAGGAAAGGGCAATCAATCACATCAGCATCAGCACACTTGCGAGCAATAAAGTTGCTGGGAAAGGGGAGATTCTGTATGTACATAGAAAAAAGAAAAGTAACAGAATAGCACCCTGAAAAACACCAACATCAATGTTAATAGAAAACGACTGTGTGACATTAAATGAATTAAACCATGTTATACAAGAGAATTAGTCGATTAGAGTATCCAAAACTTCAGGAGTCAGACCACACTCAGATAGACGTTCAATAAACACTCTTCTGTCCAGAGAACCAACGTCGTTTATGTAATCCAGAAAAGACAAACAAGCGGTATCTGCAATGTTGTCTAAGATGGATGCAACAGAATGATCAGTATGGGCAACAGCCTCTAGTCTGGACAGATGGGATTTATAGGCAAACTGTAAAGGATCATAGGAGTTACATAGGGATATCATGCAATGCAGAAAAACTTTTTCAAAAGCTTTCAGCAACACAGACGTGCAAGCAATTGGACGGTACTTGAACGATCCTTTCCTTGGAATTGGTCTGCTTGATCTGGGCTGATCTCCAACGATCAGGGATCGTTCTGGATGATAAACACGTACTGAACAAATAAGCAATAGGTTTGTGCAAACTCATCGGTGCATGCTTTTAACAAATTTAGGAATAGATGTTGCAAGCCGATTGGAATGCCGCACGCAGGGTAGGAAAAGGACGTGTCTAGCGAATCAATAAACTGAGAAAGCCAAAGGTGTTGCAGTGCAATGACCGGGAGGAGTGAAGGGTAATTGAGAACGGGAGCAATATTTGCATTTGATCCAAAAGTGCTTTCCTCCACGCAATATTTGCTACATTCCCCACATTTGATCAACTAAATTTAGTTTACTAATTGTACACATCTCTGCTCTCGATAACAGGCGTAGTGCTGGAATTCGAACGCCCCCTGACGGATCTCATTGTGACTGAAGTCAAATCAGATCAACCATATATGCTGGAATGCGAGTTGTCCCGAAAACCACGAACTGCAGTTGCATGGACCAAGGATGGTAAACCTTTCCTGCCACCCGCGGCTGAGGACAGGGTTCACTTGATCAATGAAGGAATCAGACAAGCTATTGTATTCGATCGCCTCATGGACGCTGATGTTGGTGTTTACGCAATCCAAGTCGAACAACTTTCCGGTCAAGCCAAGCTAGAAATTAAAGGTGTGCTTATTCTGAATGAACAACGAATACCTTAGCTGTTAATGTTGTGCAATCAATGAAATTGGAAGGAGTGACGGTTCATTTACAAGCTATTATTTCCTTACGTGTTTGTTTTTTGTTCATGTTATTTTACTTACTTAAAGTATTTTTCAAAACGCATAAATTGAATTCTCTATTTTTAAAACAGCGAACTTCATCATTAATCGCGCCTTAGCTCATCCTCTCGGGTACATAATTTACACACTTATATCACAATCTTCTTAAGGTCTTCAGATCTTGTGTCGAAAATGAATTTTCTCTGATCATACGCACTCTTTATCCCGTGCATATTTATTAGTTTGTCATTTCCAACTATCGACATGCATTTTTGCATGTATCATTTACACCTACATTTGTACGAATGTTTACCCAATGAACACGCATTGCAACATAGATAACCCGTAAAATTTGTCTTTGATGTACAGCTTCTATGTAACGTTGGATCCAAAGATCTCCTAACGAACGCATCTGTATGCAACTAATAATCGGAGACACTAACCACTTGTTTCTTTGGGATCTCTGATTTATACAGCCCCGCCAACTATTCCAATTTCCAAAGAATTCGAGGATCGCATCACTCTGAAAGCTGGTACATCAAAAATCCTGGAAATTCCGTTTGTATCCACTCCGAAACCCAAAGTCGACTGGACTTGGGCTCCCAGTCCAGATCTGACTCAGGAACAGAAACCTCGTTTCAAGCCCGATGTTGTAGCTGGTTTGACCACGCTACCCCTGAGCAGAGTAAAACGGGAAGACAGTGGAGCCTACAAGGTTCGAATCACCAACGACTTGGGTGAGGTCTCCATAATCACATACGTTACCGTAATCGACAAGCCATCTCCACCACGCAATCTGCGTGATACAGAGAATACTGGAGAATCGTTGGTCCTCGTCTGGGATGAGCCCAGCGACTTGGGTGGTTGTGATAGTCCCGTGAACTACATAGTAGGCATGCGTGAAGCAGGAAAACGAGCTGCACAACCTGTAACCATCAAAACGGTGCAAGAATTGAAGGCTACCGTCGACGGTCTAAAATTGGACAAAGAGTACATATTCTCCGTCGCGGCAAGCAACGAGGTCGGAACCTCACAGCCGGTTGAAACCAAACCGATCAAGATGAAATATGCATTCGGTAAGCGGTTGTTGCCAATCTACACCTAAATTTTCTCACTTTTATTCAGTGGCTTCAGGTGTGATCAACTGCTGCTATTCGTTATTGATTTCCACGCTCTTGGTTTCTGTTACTAGATTTCGGTAGAATATCGCTTTTCAGGTCAACTGATAATCTTCTATTATCGACTAAATCTGTTTTCTTACTCTTTTCCCGCCCTTTTTCTTTGATAGAAGTTCCCGGTGCTCCCGGAAAACCAGTTGTAGAAATATTGGAGACCGGTCGCGTGAAAGTGAGTTGGATATCTCCTACATCCGACGGTGGCTCTCCAATCACTGAGTACACCCTGGAAAGCTGTTCCACTCGGGTTCCGATTCCCGGACAGCGTCGTGGATCCACTTTTGCAGCCAAACCCAAATGGATTCCAGTCAGCAAAGGTATCAGTTTTGCTCCAGAGGTTGGAACTTCTGCTGAGGTTGAAGGCCTATCATCAGACATGCAGTACGAGTTCCGTGTATGTGCCGTAAACAAGGCTGGTCCGGGACCCTTCAGTCCCCCTTCGGACTCCTCAATTCCACTAGTCAAAGGTACAACAGGAAGTTTCTTGATACATGTTTATGTACCCATTTCGGATTTCGGCTTTTAGGAGAACATTCAGTATTTGTGTCTCAGGCTAAGTTAACGTTGGTAGTTTATGTAAATCAAATGCAATATATGAAAAGGTTGGCTGTTTTTTTTATTGTCTACTGTCTTTTTGTGTCCATTCAAAGCGCATACCACATGCGGATCATTACATCCATATCTTAATTTCAATCGCATCACATGTTTGCAACTGATCTCTATTTTAGGACCACGAGTCCCAGACAAACCCGGAACTCCGACAGCACAAGCTAAAAATGATAACACTGTCACTGTCTCGTGGGCACCATCCGCAGTCAGTGAAGACTTTGGTCCAGCTGACGCCTATCAAGTCGAGATGGAAGAAGATGGAGATGGAACCTGGCAAGTTGTTGGTACCACATCGAAACCGGAAGACTGTCAACTTGATGTGCCAAATCTGGACAACGCCAAACGATACGTATTCCGCGTTCGTGGCTTGAATAAGGAAGGTCAAGGTGAACCATCCAAATCTTCCAATCAAGTTTATTTGAAGAAAGGTAATTTAATACTCTGAGTTTTGGTGACCATTAGACTCAGATGACTGAGTGATTAGAAAGTGGTACATTTTGTAGTATCAATTTGTTTTACACATCACTGTTGAAGCCCCTTTTGCATCATTGTTAGAGATTTCATCTAGTAAGACGATTCAACAGGCGTATAGCAGTAAGTTTGTGCAATCAGCTGAGTTTTATGCTACATCCTAATTTTCCGCGTCCCTCTCTTTTCTTGCATTTGAATTATAAATGAATACCCGGCTTTGCTTTACAGATGCCCCATTGGCAATTGTGAAACCTTTGGAATCGATCAGTGCAGAAACTGTTCCTGAAACGGTCGCCTTTGAGTGTCACATAAATAAAGCCGCGCAGAAAATCCAATGGTTATTCAACGGAAAACGTGTGGATAGTTCGAATTTGCGTAAGTACCGCGTCACAGAGGACGTTCTAGTGCATCGCTTGGATGTGCTCAAAGTCACTCCAGAGGATGTTGGTGAATACACCATTCGTGTGGAGAAACTGGAATCTAAGGCGCGCTTTGATTTGGAACGTGAGTATAGCGTTACTGAATATTCCAAATAAATTATTATCATTGTATTTCCATAATTTTGTCTTCAAGTTTGTATGCGATTGCCTGATCATTGTTGTCTTTGACTTATTGTAGTTTTGGTTCGATTGGTGCTATCAGGACAACCGATCACAATGTTGTATTCATACTTTCCCCTAATATTTTAGATTGAACCATACATGATTATCTTATTAGCAGCTGTGTTGATGTTTTTCACTTTGTTTTCTTGCTTAGTTGCTCCACGGATTATTCTTCCCGAAAATTTCGAAAAGACTATTGTGCTACAACAAGGAGCATCAAGAACTGTGGAAATTCCATTTGTTGCCTCTCCGGCAGCGAAAGAAATTATTTGGTATTGGAACGGTAGTCGTACGTTGCCCGAACCTACCAAACGTACGGTACCCAGAAACGACCTTACCGGAAAGGCAGTGCTCGTGTTCTCCAAAGTCGAACGCACTGATGCAGGTGTCTATGAAACCGTAATCACGAATGAGTTTGGTGAGGCTAAAGCAAAAGTCACGCTCCAAGTGCTTTCACCTCCTGGACCAGTGCGAAGTTTGGAAATAAATGCAGAAACGCCTACTGAAGCTGGCCTTGTTTGGAAGCCCCCCGTCGAAGGGGATGATGGTGGTAGTCCGATAACCAATTATCGTGTTGAACAACGCATCCTGACTGCAGCGCCCGGTGCGACGTTGCGAAGCCATCAGCGTGAGTGGAGCCTGGTGACAACGGTGGAAGCCAAACCAGAGGACGATTTGTTGGCCCATCGACTGTCGGGGTTGGTGGAAGGAACGACGTACTCGTTTGCAGTTAGTGCAGTAAATGCTATCGGGACCGGACCACGAACCGAAATCCCAGAAGGATTTCTGATGAAATCACCTTTCGGTATGTGAATGCGTTCTGATCGAATTGCAAAATGCCTGTCTAATATTCATCTTTCAGAGTGCACAGGGTATTGAATGACTCGAACGATTTAACTAGGTTATAGCTACATAAAATTCATAACCCTGTAAATGCGTGCGTGTACACAAATCTTCATCGACAAAACCTTTTTCGTCAAATATATCTGTCACAGATAAACCATCCAAACCGACTGATCTGACAGTAAAGCCAGTGGACACAACCACAGTGGAGCTAGATTACCGGTTACCCAAGGTCCCTGAATCCGCTTCTTTAACCGAAGTCATGGTTGAATACCGTCCGAAAGGTCAATCGCGGTGAGTGTCTCGTATAATCAATACTATTCTGTTTTGTACTAGACTTTCTTCTTCCGTGACTTGATGCATTATCGTGCCTTTTGTCTCCCCCTTCTCTCACTCTATATTGTCTAGGTGGAATTCACAAAAGGTCCCGGTGACGGATACTGTCAAGCTAGATAAATTGGACGCAAAGACAGAGTACGATTTCCGTGTCTCTTGTGCTAATCTAGCGGGTTGGAGTGAACCGTCGGACATAGTGCGTGGCCAAACTAAACAACCTCCAAGTAGGTTAAATTTACAATGTGTTCGCATTTATTTGGCCTCGTGAATTTATCTGTAAGGTAGAATGAATTTAGTTTCAAAAACTGAATTTATCGTTTGTACGTAGTTCAAGGCTTTCTTCACTCTTTGGTGTGATTCATTGGAGCCCATTTTTGATTATTTTAATCCCCGTGATCCCGTGCATTACTTCAGAGCCCCCCGGACCTCCAACTTCAGTCGTGGTAAAACCTTCTGGGTCTGATGCTCTCTGCTTGACTTGGAATCCACCCGAGGACAATGGTGGCAGTCCGATCACGGCCTACCAAATCGAACTAACCGACGCAGCTGGGCCGGAGAGATGGAAACCGATACAAACTTTCTCAATCGGCAAAGATGATCAACCACTGGAGGCAATCCTATCCAAATTGGACGAGTCGAAATCCTATCAGATTCGTGTAGCCGCGACCAACAAGGCTGGAACGGGCAAGCCTTCACAGGCATCCCCAGCAGTTACACCCGGTAAGGATAGGTAACAATATTACGAACACTATAGATAGTAATGATCTTCTTCACTCGACATCATGCACTGATTAGTTCGAGATCTATTTACATTCACAGACTAAGATATCCTCTCTGAACCTGATAGACGTTCTTGCGTGTAACGAGTAAGTAGAAGTACTTATTCATTGCGATAGTTGTACAGAGATAGCATTTCGTTCAAGTTTTCCCGCTCACTCTTTCCGTCCACAGGAGAAGCTGTCACATTAGTCCGCCCACTTGAGGATATCTGGTATACTGAAATCCCCGCACCCAACACACAGGCAGTCTTCGAGTGTGAATTAAGTCATGCAAATTGTCGTGTGCAGTGGCTACGTGCCGGCAAACCACTGGAAATCGGACGTAAATTTGACTTCACACCCGAAGGTTGTGTGTATCGCTTGACTGTTAACGACGTGAGGTTGGACGATCTGGACCACTATGCTATGACTTACAAGAATTTGAAAACGGAAGCGGATTTGGGTGCTAAAAGTGAGTAATTTGTTTTTTATTGACAATAAGCTGAAAACTCTTTTGCCTGTATTTTTATCTCCACTAAGCAAACTAACGCGAATCCTCATGAGAACACACGGTAAAAAATAGGTTTCGTGTCTCTACTTCGTCGACTCCAAGAGAAAATATAGTGAATTTACGCTGCGCAATTTGCATCTCTGTATGCTTCGCTGTATCTCATCAGATGCATATTGCAGAGTTCACACCGTATATGATCACCACAAATCAACGAAGTCACTGGTAATACTTTCACAATTATCATGGCTTTTACCAAGGTAGCGAAAAACTCGTTTTACTTGCATAGTTTAGGCCTCCATCTTTGAATCAGAATCGCTTCAGCAAATTTCGCCAACAGACCAAATACAACACACTTATTCAGGTCACACTATGATGCGTCTATCCGATTGGGTCAAGTAACTCTAGCTGGTTGAGTCAGGGAGAGACAAGGAGCGGAGGTATGGTTATTGCCAATGATCTAATTGAATCTAATCATATATTCACTATGCGTGAGGTTCTCTTTCCTTTATGTATTGTCAAGAGAAGGCTATTTAAACAGGCCGACAACAGTTACGGCAAGTGCAATTCGTGTCTGCAACCCACAACCGTGTCTACGACCCATAACCTACTGCTTATGCTCCCAAAAATTATTTATTTAGGTTATTGGTCCTATCACGGCCATGAACTTATAACATATTGACGTAAACACTCATTCGTCCACCCACCCACCCTCATACACAAACACCAGGCCTACCGACTATCGCAATTACGTCATCCCGTTTTCTTCACTCTTCACTCTTTCACGATTATTTTCATCCCTTCACCAAGTTGGTCGACTATTAGCTAGTAGCGAGTCGATGAAGCTCGGCTACTTGCCTGAAGTTACCGGTATGCGTAACTTTCTCTCTGATTCCTTAAATTAACCGAAAGTGTCATTTTTCTGGTGGACCAATCACATAGTTCCTTATCATATCTTACTCCCCCTCGTCTACGCACATGTTTATGATTGGTCTACCGTCAATGCGTGTTATTTTCTGGCGTCCGCGTGGGGTCGATCGCATTGTCTCCGGATTGGTCGCTGTGATTGTAATTGGTAGCGGAAGGGTGAACGGGCATGAATGAGAATAAAAAAGATACAAGTGTGCCTGCTGATATTAATTTTTATTGCTTAAAAACGGTGTGATAGGGAATGCTTGGGATGAAAATTAATAGTACGGACGTTTCAATTTTGTATGGTCATTCGGTGGTGAACCAATCAATAGTGAGTGCATTAGTCGTATTACAACGGTAACTGGTCTGTTGTTCTGTTTACGTTCCAGTCCCACCGGCCCTGAGAGAAGATGTGGAGATGAGCGATGTGCGGAAAGTGCGCGCGGGCTCCAACTTTGTTCTGGAGGTGCCGTTCAAAGCATATCCGAAGCCGACTATTAAGTGGATGGCTCAAGGGACCACAGTGACTGAATCCACTCGGCGATATCAAGTGGACACCGTAGCTGGTCTAACTTCACTGTCGATTCAGCGGACACAACGCGATGATGCGGGACAGTTGACTGTCATAATCGAAAACGAGTATGGAAAACTCACATGGAAATGTGAACTGATTGTGATTGGTAAGTCAGTAAAGAATACGAACATATTTTAATCGTTCACGTTATCAAATAAATCACTTGTTTCTGTGGCGTCAACTTTTTGGCTTATTGAATACGTACAAGCCAGTGGTCAATCGAAAATTCTATTTATCAACATAGCTAATTGAGGTATGTAAAAACAATTAGATAACTTCGACTTTGACTTTGATAGTCTTGATAGTCTTCAAATGTGAATGATCCACTTGGACCCTTTACCCTACACTTTCCAGATAAACCGGGTCCTGTTGAACGCCTGACGACTGAAGTCCCTGATAAAGAAGCTCAGGTGCGAGTCACCTGGAAGCCACCCCGAGATGACGGAAAGAGTCCCGTCACTGGTTATGAATTGGAGTACCGCACCTCTAAACGCCGGGGTTGGCAACAGTTGAGGCATGGGCCCCAAGATGACAGTGAGACGTTCCTCATTCCCGCAGAAACACCCGAGTTCCTTGTCCCGGTTGGTGATAAAGAAACGGCCAATTGTCTGGAAGGTGGAGCTGACTACTTGTTCCGTGTAGTCGCGGTTAATGAAGTGGGAAAGAGTGAACCCGTAGAAACGAAAACTGCTATCAAAGCTCCAGCAAAACCGAGTAAGTATTTTACCTTATGACTGACCAATATATGTGATCAACCTTAATAATTCATCAATTACATTTGATATAACAATAAAACAAAATGATGATATTTAATAAAATTGGATATTGTCAATCTGCTCTCATTGGAGACAGCAGTATATACACAACTAACTGCTGCTGATTCTTTTGTAAATTTGTAAATTTTGTTAAAATCTGTCTTTGTCGAACTTCTGTCTACCATTGGCCATCCATGCTCAACTCACAGAAGTGTCAAAAGCCCGTCAAGCGAGCTTAACCGTGGCGAATCTCTGATAAGCCAACAATTGAAACAGAAGATGGTCGGGGGCTGTTCCATAGGGACCCGGAGAAATCCTGGGAGAGGAATACAGTTTTTTTGATCATCAGAACGTCCCTATCTTTTAGTCCATCAAAAAAGATAGACCAGTTCAAGGGTTTAGGGACTGCAGTACAAATACCCCAAGTTCTGATTTTCCCCTCCAGTTGAACTTCGTCAATGGCAATCGGTTACTCCACTGCCTGATAATTGATTTCGTGTCAGTTTCACAGGACGAAATGCCAATCTTTTTACTCGGAGTTCAGTGCTCTCACCCCTAGAACGACCTGATGGTAAATTCGACCATTTACGTGCCTTATTCTTCTTCTCGCACCCAATATTTTCTGTCCACAGAACCTCCAAAGCTAAAATACGACGTTCAGCTGGAATCTTCTCGCGTGAGTATCGGTCAGAAACACGTAATTCCCGTAAGTGTTGAGGGCGAACCAGTGCCCAAAGTCACTTGGTACTATGCCCCAGATGAGAAAACGACCGACCTGGTGACAACATTGCCCTCGGATGCACAGACCGATGCAACCGGTCCCGATCGGAACGGAGTGAACAAAGTCGAATTGAAATTCCGCAAAGCTACTCGCCAAGCCGATGGAATCTACACGATTGTGGCTGTGAATGCAGGCGGTGAAGCTCGTGCCCAGTTCCGGGTTCAAGTTACTGGTGAGTGTAGAAGTGAAATCTGTGTGCGACCGGAACTCAAACTTACCACATTTGCATAATTTTATTTATTTAAGCTTTCTTGCAATGGTTCGAATGTATTTATTGTTCCTCAGTAAAGCAAGTAAATAATAATCACCCGGTGAATTATGTGGTCTGTTCATTTATGACACATTTGCACGTAGCCAGTCTGTAGGACAGTCTGTAAGGCCGAATGAGTAGACAGGCGCCGGTAAAACGCGTGCACCGAAATCGTAAAGACACGTCCATTTAAAATATCACTGATGCTGGCGGATCATGTGTATGATGTTTTTTTTCATTTTTGCATACAATAATACAATTTTCAGGAAGGGAGGAAGCTGCCAATCAAAGGGCTGTCATACAACACACATGGTGAGAATAGTCAGCTAGGTCTGTCACCCGTCTTTTGATGCGTCCGTGTGCATGTACGTGACTGCGTGAATCCCGATATTTTGTCTTCTGCATGCACAAATGAGGACCTCAGGTGTCGTCTTATTCGATCACGTATTATCACAGATTTTCTGTCAAAAAATATGTTGATATATGCGCAGTTAATTTCACAATAGTAGGCCAAACAGCCTTCTTTCAAATTAACTCATCGTTCCTTGCACATACTTCGCAAAATGATCTCAAAGCTAAGCGATCGGGAATTCAAAAGGTTTCTTGCACCAATTGAACCATAACCATAATCATCAGTGATTCTTAATGGATCTCTCATCTCTTGTTTAGGTGTACCTGGAACCCCGTTGAATTTGGCTGTGCTAAACTTGACGAAGAGTTCCGTCCGTCTCACATGGCAACCACCAACGGATACCGGTGGAATGAAGCTGACCAATTATGTAATTGAACAAGCAGAGATGAGCAGTGCCTATGCGACCCCATCCAGTACAACTTACTGGCAAACAGTAACCACCAGCCTCCCCGTGACAGAGGCCACGGACGCGGAGGGACAATGTTCTTACGAGGTCGCTCGACTGATCACAGGGAAACACATGTTCTTCCGTGTCGCTGCACAAAACAAACTCGGTGTCGGAGGCTTTGCGGTCACTGATAAAGCACTACAAATCACGTCACCGCACAGTAAGTTTTCCACAATCATCAGTGTAGAAAGCCTATTCATTGTGACTGCACATTCTTAGTTTACCGCAACTAGCCTTTCTTTTGCTCTGATAATGACAGGAATTGTTATTTTGATGCTTCTAGAACTTGCTTGCCAATGAGAGGTTGGAGATATTTATATGAGCAATCTTCAATCTTCAAAGAGCTGTCTGTTGACTTAGAAATGGTCCCGATACCATAGACTATGTATGAGAGTACTCTTGGGCAAAGATGAAAAATTGTCGACACTGAGAAACTGATTTTAGATGCTATCCAAATGTGAGCTTCAAACACACAAGGCCACTGATCCTTTTATAAGTGCTTTACAGGGGCAGCATCATAATTTAATAACGATGCTCAATCTGTTTAAGGAACATGCTACATGATAAATGTCATCTATTGCGTGTCCATTTGATTTAATCGCACTGCTTGCCGAATTTAGGTGAAGGGGGCTTTTGAAGCTATTCCTGTCATGTATAAAAGCGAGCTCTCGTTTTCGTTGTTTCGAATAGTAAAATACCTAAAATGACCACAGTGTATGTGACAGCATTTCTTTATTTATTTAAAATTTCAGATCTTCCTGGTGCACCACGTAATCTGCGTGCAACGGTGGACAAAGACGGCCAAGTAAATGTTGAATGGAACGCACCGCAAGATGACGGTGGTTCAAATATTATCAACTATGTGATTGAACGGAGCACTGCTGCAAGCGGATCGAATTGGGTCGAGATTACCGCGCCTGATTCGAAGGACACGAAGCGCACATTGCGTAATCTTAAAGGTAAGCCATTTAAGAGCAAATGTAAGACTCCCTGGATTATGAGCGAGAGAGTTGATAGTTGCAATTTTTAAGTGACCAGTTAAACTAAACGAGATATCAATGTGAAAAATATTCGCTATTGTGAACGATGGTGAATGATGGTTGGCGCTCAGCTCTAATGCGTTCATCTTGTTTGTGTCTTTCTTTCTCGCAAATATGTCTCGTCACAGACGGAAAGTGCTTCATTCGTGTTTCCGCCGTGAATGAAGTTGGTCAAGGCCCTCCATCTGAGGTTACTGAAGTGTCTGTGAAGAAACTATCCGGTACGTTTTAAGCAAAACCCTACTTGATTTTCTTCCTTCTCTGTTGAACGCTTTCCATTTCAGTGATTGTCAATAGCTTGCAACGCCATTCCCTTTCACTATTGGGAGTTTTTCTATCGTATGGGTGATGTTTTTTCACTTGACCAGGGAACAAGATAAAAATAGATTATCGGTGTTCGAACACCGCTGGCCATATCGCATTGCACGAGTCTGGCGGGGGGATCGGAAGAGCAATACTGAGGTTAGGGGCAGAGTTTTAGTAATTGCGGTCGTCCACTGGAATAAGTGATCGACCTCCATAGAGTACACTGGTCGGGGCATTTGTTGCGCGTGTTACCAACTAGGTTGCGAGATGTTTGCCGAGGCAGGCAGCGGACGGAAAAAGATCAAGGGCGGTCAAACTATGAACTTTGCTTGAGGGTATGAAAACTCTGACGAGAACACAGGGTCACATAGGCACCGTTAGGCTCCCTGGATGGGGACCCGAGATCATGGTAATCGGTGGTTAGAGACGCTTAGTGACATAACTGGGTGTCGCAAACAGTAGCGCTCGTGCATCTACTCATTATTCTTGCAGCCCCAGTCTACATGAATTTTCTATCTTCGTTTTGACTCTGTTCTCATTCTGATTTTTTATCCAAATAGGCGGCCAAAAGACAGCAAGACGGCGCAATAAAATGAATGGTTAATGGTCATGAAAACTGAAACTAGTATTTATATTTCCACACACGCCTGGGTCCAGACCTAACTAGTTCTTCTTTTTCTTCCAGATGAACCGGATACCCCTAGTCAGCCGACTGTGGAAGTTGTAGGTGATGGTAGTGTTCATTTGCGTTGGAATCCGCCGCTAAACGAAGGTCTAGCCGGCCCGGTAACCGGCTACGAAGTACAATGGTGTGAACTAGGTTCTAGCAAGTGGCAATCGGCGCTCCGTGAACCTTGCACAACGAATGACACACGTGTAGACGGACTACCCACAGATCGTGATCTCCAGTTTCGTGTGATAGCCATCAACGGAGCAGGCAAAAGTGAACCTTCGGAAAGCACTCGTCCAGTTCGACTGAGTAAGTTATTGCTTCAAAACTAGAACAAAATACGTATAGTTTCTTGCGAAATGCAGACATCATGCACGTCGGAATTAACTTTTATCGAATAACTGTTTACTTGCTAATTTACTTTACTTTTCCTATTTTTATCTTAAAACAGTGACCGATGTTGAATTTGTACGTCCATTGGAGTCGATTCACGTCACCGAGCTTCCATCAGACGTTGTCTTTGAATGTGAGCTTTCCCGACCGGGAATGACACTTACCTGGTCCAAGGATGGGCGAGATTTGACCTTGACCACACGCTGTGTGTACAGTGTAGTGGGTGAAGGCGATCAAGCTTTCTGT